TGGCAGCAACACAGTGGTCTGTGGTGCTGACAGTACTTGGGAGCCTGCGATGCCAACGTGCATTAAAGGTACAAAGTGTCTTCTTCCTTCTTGTTTTTCTTTCTTTCTCAGATTTTATTTCTTTGATGTTAAATATCAATGGTACAGAATAATTGAAAAGATAATTTTACTATTTTACTCTGCCTTGTATTCATTTCCACAACACATGTATGACATAAAATCCACAAGGAGAGGGCTGGCCCCGTGGCTTAGCGGTTAAGTGCGTGAGCTCCGCTACTGGCGGCCCTGGTTCGGATCCGGGCGCGCACTGACGCACCGCTTGTCTGGCCATGCTGAGGCCGCGTCCCACATACAGCAACTAGAAGGATGTGCAACTCTGACATACAACTATACAACTATCTACTGGGGCTTTGGGGAGAAGAAAGGGAAAAAAAGGAAGAGGATTGGCAATAGATGTTAGCTTAGGGCCGATCTTCCTCAGCAAAAACAGAGAAGGATTGGCATGGATGTTAGCTCAGGGCTGATCTTCCTCACACAAAAAAAAAAATCCACAAGGAATTCTTCTGTTGTGATTTTGCGTGTTTTCATAGAGTCTTAGCACATTATGTACAACACACAGGCATATAACTTTATAGTGTTTCACTTTTTTATGTGTACAAATGGATAGCAACCATTTTTGGGAAAATTGAAGCGTGGAAATTTTTACCTAAATAAGTCAAGAACAAAAGGCATAATTCAGATAAATGAAAAGAAAGCACTAATTCCCAAGTGGGTGATCCAGTCTACGTTATTTTGTTTTCCAGTGCTGATTGTTCTCAGTACCAAACCTCTGATTTTGAATCATTCGAGTTTAGTAACACCTGCTTATATTTTTCCAAAATCTTTTCAATTCCTGGTGCAAATGCCAGCGATACCTTCCAAGTGTCTGATTCAAACTGCATTATTTTGTTTTCCAGTGTCGACTTTTCCCAGTACTAAACCTCCAATTTCCAGTGTCTTAGGTTGCGTAACTTCTTGCTTATATTTTTCAACGTCCTTTAAATTCCTGGTGATTTTTTTCAAAATCCTTTAAATGTCTGGTGACTTACACTCATTTATTTTTTTTAGTAATGAAAGGAAGGACATATTTACAGCCATTTTAGTTGTTATACTTAGTGATTCTAAAATTATTTACCATAGTCCACAGATATAAACAGGTATGTAAAGTTGGGCAAGTTATGTAAACTTTCACTATGTTTCCTTATATTTGAAATAATTTAATGCCTTCCTCACTGGGTGACAGTAAAGTGTAAATGGAATGTATTCAAAGTGCTTAGCACAGTGCCTGGCATAAAGGAAGCTCTTAAAGGTTGCTCATATGACTTATAGCATCACTTGAGTTAATATTAGTGGAGAGGAAGGTCCATGGCTTCTGTTTTTTAATATGTATGTTTTCTGTGTCATCAACTTTGCTCTTTTATTCCTTTTAAAAGTGATCTGTTGACACCTTTATGGCTATCTTCTATTTTGCAGTTTCCTTCTATTGCAATCAACTTCTAAATTGTTTAATAAGCCCTCTTATATCTTTTAATTTTAAGAAAAATCATACTGAATCCATAGGCTAATTTAGACAATACACTAATGATAAATTTGCTTGCTGTACCACAGAATTGTCACAGGAAATGTTACTGGACAGGAAGAAGAATGCTGATGATGTTAAATATAAACTTATAATATTTTGTGATACTACTTTTAATTAGAAGCATTAATATAATTTATATAAGGAAAATTAAGTTATAAGGGCTTTAGTACAAAGGCAGAAAAATCAAACCTATTAATTTAGTGGTCTTTAAGCCTCATTATTTTTTATTCTCTTTTTTTTTTTACTTATTTCCATTTCCTTTTTTTTTCCTATGACATCCCAGTCCCAGTGAAGAATCACTACCGCTTAAAAACTTGAAGACTTCAGGTATTATTTTGGTTACTAATAACCCTGCCTTATGAGACCCTGGAGTTCTTCATGGAAATATCATATTTCAGTTTTCTGTAGTTAGAGAAGTAACGATGTGTCACAAATTGGTGATAATTGACATTAGTTGTTATTTTAATAGTGCAGAAACCGTGACACCTGGAATCGGTAGTATGTGTAGACACATGCAGATCATACCTTTCTTAAGAGGACCCCCAAATTAGGATTCCTAGCAGGCGAGGTAACTTTCTTAAATGCTATGGTTATATGTAGGTTAAAATATATAAAAGATAACTTGCTTCCCATGTGATAGTGTTATTTTGAGATGGCAATTTGTAGATAAATTTTCTTTCTATTTGTACCTTGTATACACAAGCCTTAAAATACTGTGAGTTGGGTGAGTTTTTTTCTATAACAGGCTGGTGTAGCACACTTTGTGTAGGCTCACATAGTTCACACACTTTGTCTTAAAGAGAATAATGAAGTTTAGTTGTGACAGTTAAATGAAATATAAAGATGTCTTGATAAGTAAATGAAGAAAAATATCTATGACTTTTATTTACATTAGACGAGCTTAGTAAGGTTAATCCTTTTATAAAGTGCACTTTAGGCTTGTTATATTTTCTCTCTGAAGACTGTGGTCAAACTTTCATTGTGCCAGGAACTCCAGTGCCATCTTAAGATGTGAAACACTTGATTTTTTCTGAAATGAAAAAAGCAGAGTTAAACATGACATTTTACGCTTTGACGTATAGAAAGTTAATAAAAATAATGGCAGTTTAGAAGCGTGGTACTACTGACCAACATTTCCACGCATTAAGGTTTTGTATTATTTATTGCTCTCTTGGCAGTTAGAACATGTTAACTTAAATGCATGTTTAAGTTTCTCTGCATAATTTTTATACATATGCCTGGTGTTTCATTTACATTCTCAGAATTTCCTTGGTAATTTGGACTATGTCTTAATTATTTTGTTGGGGTGGAGAATAAGGATGGGTTGATGATAAGATAATGTATTGTTTGTGAAGACTCTGCAAATGGCATCTCTGTGATCGATTAATGGAACTTTATTTATGACTTCTTCCACAGACTCACTTTTGGGCAAAAAATATAAATTAAATTCCTAACAAAATCATAAGACATGGTAGAATGAATAGTGAACTAAACCAATTAGTTTTTAAAACACTTTTCCTCTAATCTAGTGAATTCTAATTGTTCTAATAACCTTTACTAACTAACCTGGTGTGGTAGCTACAGCACAAAACGAGGAAAAGTGAGGTTCCCATGAAGAGTTTCACAAGGTGGATCCTGTATCTGGAATCGGATTAGAAGGGTCCTAGGATCAAAATGACGTGGATGCACTAGTGGTGACCCTCAAACTAACTAGATAAACTTTTTCTTTGCTGTAGTTTTTAGATGATCTGACCAAAATGACAATGCAGCTGCTATCTGGAGGCCCATATGTGCTCAATTATCTTCAAACTGTTTTCATTTTTTCTCAGATGGACTAAACATTGCTCTGAGTGCTCTTAGTATAAGTATCCCAAACTTTGATAGGACTTAAATCAAAATGTTACTGTGAAGAATTGCATTATTTTCTTAATGATTTTTCTGTTTCTGTAGTTTTCATAGCTTCAAATAAGTAAACCAGTCTAGAAACCTGAGCTTTTATATGATATACTACCTTGTGTTGGTGACTTTATGTTCTTTTATATTCTATATATCCACTTACTGACAAACCCTAAATAATACATGTCTTTTCAAGATAATTAGTCATATGAGCTTGCTTACTCAATATGCTTTGGGTAATTTTCTAAGTTAAGCAAGGACTCTTCTCTGACTTACTATGGACTGTTTAAGTGATTCCAGGGAATGGGATTTAGATAATGGAGAGTCCCGATGGAATATAAATGTATATGTGCTTGAATAAAATAACCTTTTGTAGCCAGTGAAACGTAACCAACATTTATTTCTTCTGCTAGATTTTGAATCTTGGTAATTAGTTTTCAGTCAGATGTCACTTGTTTCCTGGTTTCTTGTAGTTCCTAGTGTTGGAGTAATTGGCACCATCCTGTATAAATATCTTCACACCAGGAAGAGTGTGTTTCTTCTAACTTACTGGTTCTCCTCATTCTTGACATATTTTTCTGGAGCTTTTCTTTGTACTCTCTATCGCATGCCTTCTTTTTTAAAAAGTGCCTGCATGAGTGTGCCAGATGAGTTGCACTCATTTACTAAAAATATTTTCGACTACTATTAATATAATTGTAACGAGAGTAACCTGTGCAGAGTTGCTTCAGCTATTATGACTGTACAAAAAATCTCTGTGGGATTTCAGGTTTAAGTTCTGCAGTGAATCATGGACCGTCATGAGGCCTTCCCTCCCCTAGGTATACCCTATTTCCTAAATTGGACTAGTGGCCAAGATTAAATTTAAAATAATTCACTGTGGAGACTTTGACAATTGAATTCACAGGAATTTTCATGATGCAAGTTCCATTTGTATGTGTAACGTAGGTAGTCGTAAGGAACTCTGTAGTTGTCTCATTCAGATACACAATTTGATTTCTTTCCACATAGAGTGGTTATACATGTGAAACTGGGGAATTAAAGCAACACTATTTCATTTCCCTATTATGTTCTCTAAATTTACTAGATTGCAGTAAAACAGATGGGGTTAAACTTAAAGATGCTGAGAGGGGTAAGATTTACAAGGCACATTAACTTTGTCTTTTTATCTACTGAGAAAAGGGAAGGGCTTAGAATATAAAAAAAATGTACAAATACATATCTTCTAAGGAAAATAGGATTTTTAAACAGCAAACTTAAATTTTAATGAGATAATTTACAATTTAATGAAAGTCTTAGAATAAATCCTAGAGCACAGACCAAGATTAGGTGCTTTAGAATTTCTGATTTTTAGCGATTTTTTTCCCCCTGTCACTTTGGAAATAGCTTTGACATCAAACTAAGAATGTTAAGACTTTTGGTATTTATGGTTATGATATATTTTCCTTTGAGGTTAATTACTACGTTTGGACTATATAATAAAAGTACATTCTTCACTCATAAAGAGCTCAGACTTTTTTTTATATTACTTCATTGTCATTTTAAAATACCCAAGATGCCTTCATTTGAATCTTAAATCTTATATTTGTGGAACACATGATATGCATATATTTCTCTATCAGTAGTGTGTTTTTAAAAATACATATACACAGCAGTCTGACTTGGAAGTACTATGGGTGGAATACTTTTACAAGTCCAAAGTGTTTGTGTAGAAATGAATTCTCAAGAACCTAAAACAAAATAGCTTCCTGCTCCTGACTTTCCTTCTTTTTTTAAAACATCACTGCGTCAGAATCTTTAAAGGTCCTTTTTGTTAAGTACTAATCAAACTCTGTCTAGGTACCGCTTAAAGGATCCTTTAAAGCTGAACAATTATCTGAGCGTTGTTCCCCCAGATTAAAGGCTCAGTAGCATCAGTGATCTGAGAATCCATTTCTAATGAGCTCCCAGGTGACGCTGCTGCTGGGCCTGGACTTCACTTTAAGGATCCAGGGTGTAGACTATTATTGATGTGGCATATTCTTGAAATGTGAAGAAACACATCCAGTTAATTGGCAAATTTTTCTCCTGTTTGAGGTAATTGGATTTTTTAAAGACTCCTCATCTATGTGTATGTTTTGTAAAAGAGTATGGGGTAATACTTAGCTTAGTTTGCTTTTCCTTAAAAGAAGTCAGGATTTTTATTATATTCTTTGCACTATTTAATGTCCATAATCTTCTCCCCAAATTGACTGTTGTTGCCTGAGAAACTCCTTTACAAGACTATAAAATGTGTGCAGTTACTTCTCTATTTCTAGGGGTACTTCTGGAAGCAGGGTACCAGGCATAGATAATCCCAAATTCCTGTTATAACTTGGTACAAAATGGATTTGATGTAAACTGTACTTACGATGATTTGGAAACACAGTTACCCCTCCACATCCTTCATAGCACAGTACAAAAATAGTATAAGTAGTCATTTTAAGATCATTAAACATATTTAAATTACTTGATGAAAAATGGTCACAAGGTTAAAGTATCCTGCTATAGTTCTCTGATTCTTATTCTTCAGCCAAGAATAGAATAAGATCCCAGTTGGTCTCAAATGTGCCCCACATACATGCTCCGTCCCTTTCCTTTCTACTGTCCTTTCTTCACTGATCTTTCTACCCTACTTTCTAGTCTTGGGATCCACAGCCCTTCCCTGTCCTTTGCTACTGCTTGAGTCCTCTTTTGCATGTCATGACTGTGTGATTCCAAGAGACAGATGCCTTTAGTTTACATTAATGTTTTCACTTATTTGTAAAGATTTTTTTTCCATAAATGCATGATTTTCTTTACTCCGCTTAAAGCATCCCTGGATAAGTGAGAATTTACTCATTTCTTTAGAGTTCTTAGCATAATTTATGTATTTTATTACCTGTGACTAAATAGGTTTTGTTTTTTTCCATCAAGGTTATTTATTATGTGTTATAACTTAAACCTGTTTTTAATGTTATATGAATAATGACTAATTCAATAACTTTGTAATTTTTAAGCTGTCTGCTGAAATGAAAGTTACAAAAGTTTTTTGGTTTATATATATAGTGGCCACTTCAAGTGGTGGTGAGTATAATGATAATGAGCAAAAAAGTGAAGGATCCAGTTAACTTGAACATTGTTCTACTTTGTTCTCAAATTCTTGAGCATTCAACAAACTCTTCAAAAATTTTTTAATAGAAAATTAATAAGTAACAAAGATTTTATAATTAGTTTCAATAGCACATTTACAAAATTCAGATCTGTCCCAGAAAAATGGGAGGTCACATACTATGTTTTACAGTGATCTTCCTCAGGTTGAAAACGAATGTGCCCGGGAAGAAACTGTACTCAATGCAAAAGTCCAGGTGCATCTCAAAATGTACAACTTGTCGTAAAATTGATTTCCAAAACAATATTACATGGATTTAATATATGGCCTGTGTATTCCCTCAAAATAAGGTGCTAGAGACCAGGACCCCTTCTCACACAGTCTGTTTTCTGTGAGAGAGAGTTTACATTATTCACTTCAGGCTAAATGGTTTCAGAGGTAAACAGATTGCACAGAAATTCAGAATTGGTTTATCTGCTGTATAATCTATAAGATTTCCAAGCTTCTTGCACAAACTTCCTGTTTCAAATTCCTAAGTGAGAATCAGAGAAGTCTTAATTTATGAACCTAATGATCAGCTTTACCTCCATTCTCCTCTGTCGTTGATTTGACCCCACGTATTATGCCACTCTCGCTGCCTTTGGGTTTGATGTCACTTTTATATTCAGCCCTTTTCCCTTCCTCCCTTCAGCACTTACCTAACTGGTGAGAGCCACAGAGAAGTACAATTTATTTCCCTCTGAGAAGAGATAGAGAAAGGTTTGCTTTTATTATTAAAATGTATCTGCTTCCTGTTGTGTTTCTTTTCAGAGATGTCGTTTCTTTGGAAAATATTCAGTGAACATTGAGAAAGCAATGGCCTGAGCTAAGATATGTGGGCTGGAAACATCAGAGGACACTCAGAGTCCTGTTGCCTTTGCTCAGTGATTGGTGTTTTCTTCTACCATTCCCCTTCTAAACATAACATTCCTAATGGCTTTTGCTTTGACGTACACTCCAGTAGAGTAATGTCTCCCTCGTCATTTTATCAAACTATGTAGCTTCCACTAACTTCTAGCAGCCGTGATTGGAAAGTGAGGAAATTTTTTAGCCCAATGGGAAATAATCACAGAATCTGTTCATTCTAAGTACAAGGAGGAAAAAATGTCCTTTTACAGAAACCAAAATACATTTTACTTAATTTTGTAAATGTATTCAATGTCAACTTGTAAATAATTCTGTAAAGGCATTTATCTGTTTCCCTTGACCGGAATATTTTTAGCATATGAAAGAGAAACGAACAAAAAAAACCCTCAGATTTTGAAAAATTATGAATTACACTGCCTTAAACCCTTTGACCCCATCCACCCTCTGTCTTTGAATGAAATGAATTTGAAATGTTCCTCTATTTTTGCCAAAAAGTGTGTCTACACAGCTGGGAAGAGAGAGAGATGTGTATCCCATCACTTACAATGTGAGGTGCTACTCTAGGTTACAATCAAGAGTTTGGGGTGATGTCCGCAACATGGCAGAGTTAGCTGTTCCGTTTATCTCCCCTTCTGCACTACAACTAAGTGGAAATTCATTGACCAATGGAGGATACCCACACAGTGCAACAGAATGCCTGAGAGACCCACGCAGCTATACAACTGATACTGGATGCACTGTGCCTCAGGGATGTAGTGGAGATAGGTGAGCCCTCTCCAACCCTTCCCTGGCAGCCCTGTGCATGCATGTGAATGCTTTCCCAGCCGGGAGCACCCATAGTGCTGTTGTGGTCCTGCAAGTGGGAACTTGCCTTGGCGTGACTGTAAGAAGAGGTGGAGGCAGCCCTGAGCTCACATGCAAACACTTTCCCGGCTGCCAGGAGAGCCCCCTGTGCCACTGTGGTCCCAACAAGTGGCAGGCTCAGACCCCATGAAGAAGACCCACCCACCAAGCAGAGCATCCAGCGCAACCTTAAGAAGAGGCAGCAGCAGGTCTATGCATACCTGCGAATGCTTTCTCAGCTGGCAGGAGGGCCCATAAAACTGCTGTGGCCCCACAAGTGGGAACGTGCCTCAGTGCAACTGTAAGAAGATGTAGCAGCAGCACTGAGCCCATGTACAAATGCTTTTCTGTCCAGTGGGACTGCCCACCGTATCCCCACCACTTCCAGCAAATGCAGTGGGATCAGAAACACAACTCCTGCTTCCCCCCAGCGGTAAGAAGTAAAATCTGTAAACTGATACTAGCACAAATATACCAGCAAAGAATTAGTTCATCAAACACCATAAGAAACTACAGCAACAATTCAGAGCAAGAGGAAAATGACAAGTCCCCAGATTCCAACCCTGAATTCACAGAAATTTACAATCTAAATTAAAGAGAATTCAAAATAGCTGTCATAAAGAAATGCAGTGAGTTACAAGAAAACTCAGACACTTCAGTGAGCTCAGGAATAAAATTAATGAGATGAAGGAATACTTCTCCAAAGAGATTGAAACTCTAAAAAAAAAAAGAAAAACCAGAAATTCTGGATATGAGGAACACTATTAATGAGAAAAAAAATAATCTAGAATCCTTAAAAATTACAGCTCACATTATGCAGGAAAGAATTAGTGATTTAGAGGATAGGAATATAGAAATGCTTCAGGTGGAGGAGAGAGAACTAAGATTTTTAGAAAATGAAGGAATTCTAAAAATACCCCACTCAACTAGGAAAAGCAACATAAGGATTATAGGTATTCCAGAGGGAGAAAGGAGCAGACAGCTTGTTCAAAGAAATAATAGCTGAGTACTTCCCAAACCTGGGAAGGAACCGGACTTACAAATACATGAAGCCAATAGCACTCCTAATTACATCAATGCTAAAAGACCTTCTCCAAGGCGTATAATAGTAAAACTGTCAAAAGTCAATGACAAAGAAAAAATATTAAGGGCAGCAAGGCAGAAGAAAATAACCTACAAGGGAACCCCTATCAGGCTTTCAGCAGATTTCTTGGCAGAAATCTTACAGGCTAGGAGAGAATGGAATGATATATTCCAAATACTGAAAGGCAAAAACTTTCAGCCAAGAATACTCTATCCAGTGAAACTATCCTTCAGATACGAAAGAGAAATAAAAGCTTTCCCAGATAAACAAAAGTTGAGGGAGTTCATCACCACTAGACCTCCCCTACAAGAAATGATCAAGGATACCCTCATACCTGAAACAAAAAGGCAAAGGTCTATAAAGCTTTGAGCAAGGAAATAAATAGACAAACAAAATCAGAAAACTGCACCTCTCTTTCAGAGCAGGGTAGCAAATACTTAATGATAACTTAAAAGATAAAGGGAAGGAAAGCCTCAAAAGTAACTATAAACACTTTAACTTAGTCACAAACTCACAGTACAAAAGAGAATAATTTGTGACAACGATAACTCAGAGGGGGAAGAGGAGAGGAATGGAACATGCTTAGGCTAATGGAGATAAGAGGCTGTCAGAAAGTGGACTATCGCATCTACGAGATCTTTGATACAAACCTCACAGTAACCACTAAACAGAAAATCAGAGCAGAGCCACAATACATAAAAAAAAAGAGAAAACTGAGAAAACCGCCACAGACTACCACCAAAATGAAATGGCATCAGAAATATAAAGGAAGAGATACAATGGAAATATAGAACAACAGGAAAACAAGACATAAAATGGCAGTTCTAAGCCTTCATATATCAATAATCACTCTAAATATAAATGGATTGAATTCTCCATTCAAAAGACACGAAGTAGCTGGATGGATTAAAAAACAAGACCCAACAATATGCTGCCTCCAGGAAACACATCTCAGTTCTAAAGACAAACATAGGCTCAGAGTGAAGGGATGGAAAACAATACTCCAAGCAAATAGCAAACAAAAGAAAGCAGGTGTTGCCATACTTATATCAGACAAAGTAGACTTCAAGATAAAGATAATGAGAGACAAACAGGGGCACTATATAATGATAAAACGGACTTTCTACCAACAGGACATAACACTTATGAATATATATGCACCTAGTGCAGGAGTACCAAAGCATATACAGCAACTGTTAACAGACCTAAAGGGAGACATTAACAGCAACACAATAATAAAAAGAGACCTCAAAATCCCACTTACATCATTGACTAGATTGTCCAGACAGAAAGTCAACAAGGAAATAGTGGATTTAAATGAAACACTTGATCAGATGGACTTAATAGATATATAGAGAGCATTCCATCCAAAAACAGCAGAATACACATTCTTGTCAAGTGCACATGGACCATTCTCAAAGATAGACCATGTGTTGGGAAACAAGGCAAGCCTCAATAAATTTGAGAAGATTGAAATCATACCAAGCATCTTTTCCAACCACAATGCTATAAAACTAGAAATCAACTACGAGAAAAAAGCTACTAGAATCACAATATGTGGAGACTAAACAACATGATACTGAACAACCATTGGCTCAATGAAGAAATCAAAGGAGAAATTTAAAAAAAAACCTGAAGACAAATGAAAATGAAAATACAACATACCAGCTGTCATGGAAATTTATAGGAATACAGGCACACCTCAACAAACAAGAAAAATCTCAAATAAGTAATCTTAAACTATACCTAACAGAACTAGAAAAAGAACAAACAAAGCCTAAAGTCAGCAGAAGGAGGGAAATGATAAAAATTAGAGCAGAAATTAATGAAATAGAAACTAAAAAACAGTAGAAAGGATCAATGAAACTAAGGTTGTTCTTTGAGAAAATAAACAAAATTGACAAACGCTTAGCCAGTCCCAAAAGAAAAACAGAAGGCTCAAATAAATAAAATTAGAAATGAAAGAGGAATAATTACAATGGATACCACAGAAATACAAAGTATTATAAGAGAATACTATGAAAAACTATATGCCCACAAACTAGATAACCTGGAAGAAATGGATAAATTCTTAGACTCATACACTCTCCCAAAACTGAATCAAGAAGAAATAGAGAATCTGACTAGACCAATCACAAGTAAAGAGATTGATAACCACCAATCCAATCTCTGTCCCTCTGTGTTTGTTTATTGTTGTTATTATCTACTACTTAATGAAGGCAATCATACGGTATTTGACCTTCTCCCTCTGACTTATTTCACTTTGCATTATACCCTCAATGTCCATCCATGTTGTCACAAATGGCTGGATTTATCGTTTCTTATGGCTGAGTAGTATTCCATTGTGTATATATACCACATCTTCTTTATCCATTAGTCACTTGATGGGCACTTAGGTTGCTTCCAAGTCTTGGCTATTGTGAATAACACAGTAGGGAATGGGGGAGGGTGGAGGGTGAAAGGGATAATTCGGTACTTGTGTGTGGTGATGGGTTGTAATTAGTATTTTGGTGGTGAACGTGATGTAATCTATGCAGAAATAGAAGTATAATGATGTACACCTGAAATTTTTACAATGTTATAAACCAATGTTACTGCAATAAACAAAAAAATTTTAAAAAAAAGGAAAATGTTATCTATTCACTCTTATATCTCCAAAATTGACTGCCTGTAGTAGACAATAAATCATCAATAAACGATTTTTGTAATCAAAAAAAAAAAAAGTAAAGAGATTGAAACAGTAATCAAAAACCTCCCAAAAAATAAAAGTCCACGACCAGATGGCTTTTCTGAAGAATTCTACCAAACGTTCAAAGAAGATCTAATACCTATCCTTCTCAAATTGTTCCATGAAATCGAAGAAGATGGAATGCTTCCTAAGTCATTCTATGAGGCCAACATTACCCTGATACCAAAATCAGGCAAGGACAGCACAAAGAAGGAAAATCACAGGCCAATGTCACTGACGAACATAGATGCAAAAATCCTCAACAAAATATTGGCAAACCAAACACAGCAATACATTAAAAGGATCATACACCATGATCAAATGGGATTTATACCAGGGACACAGGGATGGTTCAACATTCGCAAATCAATCAATGTGATACACCATATTAACAAAATGAGGAATAGAAACCACATGACATCTCAATAGATGCAGAGAAAGTATTTTACAAGATCCAACATCACATTTATGATAAAAACTCTGAATAAAATGGGTATAGAAGGAAAGGACTTCAACATAATAAAGGCCATATATGACCAACCCACAGCCAACATCATACTTAATGGTGAAAAACTGAAAGCCATCCCTCTGAGAACAGGAACAAGATAAGGATCCCCACTGTCACCACTCCTATTCAAAATATTACTAGAGATTTTGGCCAGAGCAATTAGGCAAGAAAAAGAAGTAAAAGGATTGAGCCGGCCCAGTGGTGTAGTAGTTAAGTTCGTGTGCTCTGCTTCGGTGGCCTGGGGTTCGCAGGTTTGGATCCCAGGTGCGGGCCGACACACTGCTCATCAAGCCATGCTGTGGTGGTGTCCCAAATACTAAATAGAGTAAGATGGACACAGATGGATTGGAAGAATAAGCATAGTTAAAATGTCCATATTACCTAAAGCAATCTACAGATTCAATGCAATCCCAATCAGAACCCCAATGACATTCTTCATGGAAATAGAACAAAGAATACTAAAACCTATAGGGAACAATAAAAGACCTTGAATAGCCAAAGCAATCCTGAGAAAAAGAACAATGCTGGAGGCATCAGAATCCCTGACTTCAAAATATACTACAAAACTATAGTAATCAAAACAGCATGGTACAGGCACAAAAACAGACACACAAATCAATGGAACAGAATTGATAGCCCAGAAATAAAACCACACATCTGTGGACAGTTAATCTTTGACAAAGGAGCCAAGAAGATACAAGGGAGAAAGGAAAGTCTCTTCAATAAATGGTGTTGGGAAAACTGAACGGCCATTTGCAAAAGAATGAAAGTAGACCATTACCTTGCACAATACACAAAAATTAACTCAAAATGGATAAAAGACTTGAATGTAGGACCTGAAACCATAAAACACCTAAAAGAAAATATAGGCAGTACACTCTTTGACTTTAGTCTTAGTAGCATCTTTTCAAATACCATGTCTACTCAGGCAAGGAAAACAAAAGAAAAAATTAACAGATGGGACTACATCAGACTGAAAAACTTCTGTAAGACAAAGGAAGCCATGAACAAAACGAAAAGACAATCCACCTACTAGGAGAAAATATTTGCAAAACATATAACCAACAAGAGGTTAATTTCCAAAATATATAAAGAACTCATAAAACTCGACAACCCAATCAAAATATGAGCAGAGGATATGAACAGATATTTTTCCAAAGAAGATATACAGATGGCCAACAGACACATGAAGAGATGTTCATCATCTCTAATCATTAGGGAAATACAAATTAAAACTACAATGATATCATTGTAGATATCATCTTATGCCTGTCAGAATGGCTATAATTACCAATATACAAAAAATAATAAATATTGGAGAGGATGTGGACAAAAGGGAACCCTCACACACCGCTGATGGGAATGCAAACTGGTGCAGCCACTGTGGAAAACAGTCTGGAGATTTCACAGAAAATAGAAATACCATATGATCCAGCTGTCCCACTACTGGGTATTTATCCAATGAACTTGAAATCAACAATCCAAAGAGGTTTATGCACCCCTATGTTCACTGCAGCATTATTCACAATAGCCAAGATGTGGAAGCAACCCAAGTGCCCTTCTACGGATGAATGGATAAATAAGATTTGGTATATATATACAGTGGAATACAATTCAGCCATAAAAAAAGACAAAATCGTCCCATTTGCAACAACATGGATGGACCTTAAGTGTATGATGTTAAGTGAAATAAACCAGACAGAGATAAATACTGCATGATTTCACTCATGTGTGGAAGATAAACAATCACATGGATAAAGAGAACAGACTAGTGGTTACCAGAGGGGAAGGGGGCTGGGAGTGGGCAAAAGGGGTAAAGAGGCACGTATGTACACTGATGGATGAAAATGAGTCTGTGGGTGGTGAGCACAATGCAGTCTATACAGAAATTGATAAATAACAATGTACACCTGAAATTACACAATGTTATAAACCATTATGATATCAACAAAATAATTGAAAATAAAATAAAATAAATATAAAAAATAAAGAAAAAGAGTTTGGGGAGAGATTCTGCAAAGGGCAACAGGAAGGGCAGTTTCTTGGTAAAGCCGAGTGGTGTCTGTGAGCACAGGGGAAAGGGAGAGACAGAACATACCAGCTAGAAGGGCAGTCTGGGCCCACCCAGCTCTGTGTGTCTTCCTGGGCTCCTAGCATTCCTTTGAGGCTAAAGCCACCCAGGAAAGTAGTTTTCACACTGTCGTGAGCTTCAAGGTGTCTATCAACATTTGAAGTTAATTAAATGAACGCTGAAGTTAATAGAAAATGTCTGTACTTAGTGGTTCAGTTTCCAATTTTTATCATCTTCAAATAGCTTCATTGTTACATCAAATAAATACTTCTTTAAATTTATACTAATGCTTATTTATCTTTCTCATATATTGAATTTCTATTTAAAATTCTATTTAAAGAAAAGGATTCCACTACTACAGAAAAAAAAAATATATTGACTTCAAAAAATAGAAAAATATAGTGGTCTTGGAGAAATACTGACAGGCCTAGTAATTAAGTCACTCACCACAACTGTCCTTAAAAAGCAGTCTTACTGTGCCAGTGATGGTTCATAATGATGGGCTCCCCCACAAAGAGAAATAGTCAAGTATCCGAAATTAACATGGTTAGCTGTTACATTGGTAGGCATCCCTGAAGTGTTTGCATGTGGCAAGCATAACTGACTGGCCCAAATTTAGTTTTAGTCTCTCAGAGTCAATTTACTAATAAGGTAGGGACTAGAACTACATTTTCCAATTCAATAGGCAATAGCAGTGTGTAGCTACTGAGGACTTCAGAAGTGGCTAGTCCAAGGGAAGATGTGCTGGAGGTGTGAAATACACGCCAGATTTCAAAGACTTAGCACGAAAAATATAAAATAAATGGCAAAATGTTAATATTTTGACTACATTGGGCTAAGTAAAGTATATTAAAATTAATTTTCCCGTTTCTTTTACTTTTTTAAATGTGACTTCTAGAAAATTTAAAATTACCTATGTGATTTGCATTACATTTCTTTGGACAGATCTGGACTAGAATAATAGATTTTAGAAAGATATCTATTGTGACAATGAAAGTGTGATGGAAACTTCAGTTATTTAGGAGAATCTCTTACTGGAACACAGGATTTCCTTGACAGTGAGGGGTAAATGAGGCATTATTGAACTTGAACACTGGGAATCATTACCTTTTTAAAAATTTCATCCCAGCCCCAGATTTAAAATTGTGATTTTAGGAAAACATGTGTTTCTCTCCAGTCTTTCCAATTGGCCCTAAATTATAAAGAGGAAATATTTACTAGTACTTTATATGTGACTACTCTATTTCTTGCTTTGGAGAGATTCAAAAATATAATACAGGGGTAGAAGAAATGTTTCTGGAGTGAGATGAGTTGAATATTTGATAGTAAAAGAATCATTTTTTCTTAGTTCACAGACTCTTAATATTATAAATACAGGGTTTTTTTAGTTGTCCATTTTCTAAATGGGCTTCTGGTGAATTTCTCTATTTAATTATGTTTATCTCTGATGCTATCTTTTTACCTTGCCTTGTAGGGAAATAGAGGAGAGTGCTGCAAACACAGTTCAGCAGGAGAAATCAACCACTCCAGCAGAGCAGACGCACTAAATGGTTTCCACAAACCACTGCATCAGTTTATCTTTTGATTCTGTTAAAATGTTAAGATCTACAGTGAATTTGTGTAACTACTACGGAAAACAATATGGAGGCTCCTCAAAAGATGAAAAATAGAACTATCATATGATCCAGCCATTCTACTTCCAGATATTATCCAAAGGAAACTAAATCACTGTGTGGAAGAGATTTCTGCACCTCCCTGTTTATTGCAGCATTAATTACAATAACCAAGACATGCAAACAACCTAAGTGTCCATTGATGGATGAATAGATAATGTGGTATATATATATACAATGGAATACTATTCAGCTATACAAAGGAAGGAAATTCTGCTATTTCTGACAATATAGATGGACTTAACACAATCCCTGGTAGTATTAAGATGGGGAAATGATTTTTTTTAATAAAATATCTGAATTTGGAGAAATGTAACTCAAAATGAAGTTACATTTCGTTTGTATGGAAAGTAATTTGAAATATATTTTGTTCAAAAATTAATGCCAACTCCTAAGATTCGTTCTTTCAACAAGTGTAAAATTGGATTTGTGTATTGTTTATTGTCAAAAGTCTTTACAGATATGTCTATACTGCTTCAGACCTTAAAATTTAAAAACATGAACACTGAAAATTGGAATTTTGAACGTTTGACTTCCTTAATGAAGAATACTATTGGAAAATACTCTTGAAGTTAATAGGGTAAAATTCTATTTTTTAAAAAATTATTTGTAACTTCTTGGTGATGTAAAGAAGCTGTAACGTTTATGGATGGCGTTTGTTCTTCACTTTTTTTAATATCAATAAACCAGTCTAAGGAATCAGTAAGGATTCAGAATCAGTTGCTGTTTCTGTGAAAGTTAGAGAGCTCTAACCCCCATAACAAGACGCCAGCCCGTGGTACAGCGTGAGCACTGTGGCCTTGTGCTTTTCTTAAAGAGAACTCCATCTTTAAGAGAATTAGAATCCACTCTAAATTCTGGCTATAGGTGGTTTTCCGTCCCTACTTGAATAAAGAGGTGTCTTACTTCAAATATGTCATCTAAAAGTAGGCAGATTTGTGGGGAATAAATCCATCCACTTGTATCAGAACCTTAGTCTTTGTGTGCGTCTCACCTCCTCTGCTAAAAGGCAGAGTAAGGATGAAGCCGTGCATTTCAGAAAAGGAAACTTAACTTTGTGTGTTTGCTGTTGGTTGTAGGAAGAGACTGAAAAAGGGAACACAGCTCAGGTAGCGCTTTATGCTCAGGTGGAATAGATCCCCCTCTTCTGAGTCCTAACACCAGGCAGGGTCTCTCTCATAAGCCAGTGGGAAAAGGAGGGACCACCACGCTAATTCAAATTACACTTTTACAAGTTTTGTTTTACACTTTTATATTTACTAGCACAAATTGGGCCAAAGAAACATTGCCTGAGGAGGATATGAAATGGGGACTCGAGTGGACCGGAGTTAACACTGTTTTACTCTGTAAAGACGTGTATATTGCACTGCAAGTGCTCCTTCCCTTGTAATCTCTGATGAGGTACTTTAGGAAGATAAGTTGGGCAGAAATAAACAGAAATTCTGAATTAAATATAGAGTTGAAGTTTTACTGGACCCATTTTCACATACTTTTCAAGAATGTAGCACTTGCTTAGAAGCAAGGGATGGCCGTACGATTTATGTTTTTAAAAGCCTGCTTAAAGTGTTTTTCAACCAAAGATTGTTACGATTACCAAAATAAATTGAGTTTTATAGTAGTTTCACTTCAAATTTAGTTTTTCTGTTTGAAGTATTTATATGTGAAATTGATATATTTGTGAAAATATAAATTATGTTCTGTTTGTCAATTACTTATGTAGGGAAACTAATTTTCTCTAGAAAAGTTTGTTTAAATGACAAGGAAAGAAGCGTATTCGAATTTAAAAGTTTCTTAAAACTGCAAGAATGTGTTTGAAGTGAAATGAGAAGTCCCTGCATGTGGTCTTTATTGTTCATTTTTTGAAAATTGGATCTTCAAATCTGGTATAAAATAAGATGTAGGTTTGGAGAACTTTCATTTGTGATTATGCGTTTATTTCCAGTGTGTTTTATCTCAAGTCAGAGTATGCTTCTAATTGGGACCCATCTTCTCTAATCTTTCTGCTTCCACATTGATCACTGCTGCCCTCACATCTCAGAGCCGTAAGCATGTCCGGGCTTCTCCACTCCCAGCCCCGCAGGTGCCTCTCCTGCTCAGAGGGTCAGTGACACCACATCACCTACAGCAGGAAGTCCAAGTTTCCTAGAGTGATGCTTGACGGCTTTCTGCAATTCAATCCCAACTGTTCTTCCCAAGCCTTCTCTTTCTGCTCCATTTCTTCAAATAATCTACTCCCAGTCAAGACAGACCATCTGCCCTGTGCTCTCGGCTGTATTCCTGGTTCACTGTTGCCTGAAGCGCCTGTGCTCCTGTCCAGATCCCGGGCGTCTTCCAAGGCTCAGCTTGAATACTGGCCATTCAGTGAAGCTTTTCCTGATTTCTGCCCAGCGCTCATAGCCTCTGTTATTACCTAACCTTGAGTTAACCGCATTTAAGTATCTATATCCATGTGTCTGGTAGAAAACATATCTTCCACATCACGTTAATGCATGGGTATGGCTAAGTAATTAAAAACCCAAGTCCCAACAATAAAGTATAAAATTTAATTTCCACGCTAACAATAAAATTCATTTTTGTTTATGCAAAAATAAATTCTTGCTGTCTTTGCAGATTTTATTAAATCAGATTGCTAAACCTCTGAGATCAGGCCTCAGTTTCTGAACCACGGCTGCAACTGGAATCACCTGGGGAGATTTACTGCTGCCTGGGTCCCACCTCCCAGAGGTTTCTCATGTAAAGGATCTGGGATGTGGCCTGGGTTCAAGGTGGCTTTAAAGTTTCCCAAGTGATTCTAATGTGCAGCCAAGGTTGAGAACCTCTGCATTAGTGATTCTCAAGCACCATAGTCCATTTCTACATGTAAACTTATGAAGACAGAAAGGCTTAAATTTACAAAAGAAAATTGTAGTCTTAGTAATTCAGCCTATTAAAGAAATCAGAAGATGTCTAAGACACGAATTAAGGTCTTGTTGCCTGGCTACCCAAACAAGGCTATCTGTTGTTTAAAAAAACAGAAGCAATATTTCTAATATCAATGCTGGATGAACATTAGGTTGACTATAAATAAAGAAATCACTTTATCAAATTTCATTTGACATTAACTTGAGACTAGATTTTTTAATTGGCATAAAATACAGAGACAGCTTTTAAGGTGACAAAAAATAAGTCTTCTGCAAGAATGCTGAAGAGACCTGGGATAGGCAGGAATTGGAATCTGCATTGTTAAAGTAGATTCTCCCTTGTATAGGAAAATAGGCAACTCTGGTATTCTAAAACTTAGCAATGCCTGACAGCTAGCATTGTAACCAAGAAGGAAATTTTTTGCATATTTAAAAAGTTTGCATGTTTGTACTCAAAGCAGGATTTAACATAAGGAGTCTACTGTCTTCTGGAAATGATGGGAAATTGAGTGAGTGTACACTGATTTTTTTCCTAAACTGCATTGCTTTCATCATTTCCAGGCTCATCCATAAAAGGTAACACTAACATGGTCAGGCTTTGTAAATCGTAGCACTGCTGCCCTCCTGTGGACTGTTCGGGCATTTGACAGTCTCTCCCTTGGTCATGCAGAGGTTTCAGTCATTGCTCTGACTCCCGGAAGCCATTTTTAATTTCATTTGGATCTAGTATTAACTAGCTCTTTTCTGCTTTCCTTCTGTGAAATTAATATTTTAAAAAGGGCTAAAGTCTGTCCCTTGTTGCTTAAATATGGGAGAAGCATAACATTGGGGTCTGTGGTCAATAAACTAGTTTTCCTTCCCTCTCCCTTACATACGAGCAGAAGGTGAACAAACTGCCACAGTGTAGACAACGTGGAGGAAGTTACCCACCCCGATCCTGACTTGCTGGCCCAAGAAAACCTGTATAGGGGGAGTAAAACTGATGTTAGCAGCAGAACACGCTTATGTTTATATAATTTACCTTCCTTATGTAGCTTTTAAAAAATTGAACTATTCTATGTCCCAGAGGCAAGCCTTGTGCTGAACTATCAGCAACCAACAAGAGCTCTGACATCCTGGTGCTTAGGTCTTGTGGCTTCACTGAGAATTCTGGAGACTACGATCATTTAGATGAGCACTTATTTATGCTGTTCCTGAAAAAGATCAGTCATCTGATCACCCATCGCCACCTGAAAAGGCTCCTAAAGAAAATACCCCTTCAGTTTCTATTTGACGTGGGACTCAATTATTGCTTGCATAGGTCCCACAGCGTGCAGGTGAATCACACGATGACCTTGTTAAAATGCAGATTCTGACTCAGCAAGTCTTAGGTGCGGCCCGAGGTTCTGCATTCCTAATTCCACATACTCCTATTTGTGGTAGGCTGTATTGTGGCTTCCAGAGGTATCTGAGTCCTGATACCTGGAACCTGTGAATGTTACCTTCTATGGCAGAATCTTTTGCAGAAGAGAGATTAGATGGAGAGATTACCCTGGATTATCCAGGTGGGGTCCTAATGTAATCACAGGTATCCTTATGAGAAGTAGGCAGAGGGAGGTTTGACCACAGCAGAAGGCAATGTGACCACTAAAGCAAAACGCTACGCTGCTGGCTTTGAGGATGGTGGAAGGGGCCACAAGCTGAAGAATGCAGCTCTGGAAGCTGGAACAGTCAAGGAAACTGATTCTCTCCTAGTGACCGCTGGGGGGAGCCCAATACCTTGATTTCAGCCCAGTGGACCTGAGTTGGGACTTCTGACCTCCAGAACTATGAGAATAATGTTTTAAGACACTGTTACAGTGTGAATGTTTGTGTCCCTTCAAATTCCTATGTTGAAATCCTAACCCCCCAGATGACAGTATTATGGCGTGTGGCGGCTCGGAATTGAATAGGCCTTCAGTGTAGAGCTTTCATGAACGGGATCAGTATCCTTGTAAAAGAGATCCAACAAAGTCCCTCACCCCCTTCTGCCATATGAAGTTACAGCTATTAAGTCATGTCTATGAACCAGAAAGCTGGCTCTCACCAGACACCTCACCACGCATTTGTCTAGGTTGAAGCATGGCCTCAAAACCAGATTCAAAATGTCTCCAGGAGAAACATTCTGCTTACCAATTTATTATGAAGAACATCAGAATGGCAATTGTAGGGAAAGGGCTGTCAGCCTCCAATGAATAAAGCAAATATTCCTGTGTGAGGGGCACCTCAGTTCCTTGGGGCCTGCATTTTGCTTCTCCTGACAGACACGTGGACTGTTTAAAATGAAGCATTTAGTGGGAGCACCAGAAACTACTTCTACGGAAAAGATGTTTCAAGTCATTGGTTTTGTGCTTTAATGCTAAACGCTATCTTGTAGCACTTACTCATTTGGGGGCTGGAATCAGCTCCACCTGCTGGCAGAATCCATGTCTTACGTGTTTTATTTGCAATACCTGGGCTGGAGCTTGGGACATGGTAGATGAATCAATAATTGTTCAGTTGGTTACAACCCACAGGTCGTCTTTTAGCCTACCTCAGCAGAGAAGTAAATAAAACAATTTAGGGTGTTAACTATTCCCACCACCACAACGTGGGGATGAGAACATGGATTCTTCGGTCAACAGCCCGAAATAGCACTGCGGCCACAGAGAGGGGGCGCATCTCACTCACTGGGAAGTTTTCCCAGCAGATGCTTCACCCACCCCAACCCCACCCCACTAGGCAGGGCCGCATCTGGGGGAAGACTGGCAGGATGCGGACTTAGAAAAGCTTCCCAGGTGGTTGAGTGGCCACTGCTTATTGAGAACCACAGGAGTGAAATCAAAGCACTGCAGGTAGTTCACGGTTGGCCACGCATCTCCTGTGCTAAAAGCTCCATCAGGGGCCACAGCCGCCCTCCCTGAAGATTCCCCAAGTCCAATCCCCTGTGACGTCCAGTCTGGCTAATCTCTGTGAACCTTTACAGAACGGGTTCACCCTGTCTTCAAGGTTAATAGAAACTAAGAGCCAAAAGTAGAACTGCATCTGTTAATGAAACTGAAATCCTCGGGCTGCTCCCTTTAAGGGCCACGTGACAGTATGTTCAGTTAAGCAAATGTTTCTCAAGGGAACACCGACTGCGGAGGGGCCAGGGCTGCGGCCCGTTTTAACTGACATCGGTTTTCCCTTTCAATAAGGAGCATCCCTCGGCCCAGGTCTTCAACCTTTCTCTCTTCTGTAATCTGTTCTCTCCTTTTATTTCTTGGCTCATAGAATTTCACTCTTATCTTAATGGGCTTCGTTTTTAATGTCTGTCTGCTGTAACCAACCTCAAATTCTTTGTGAAGCAGGTAAGATCTGCATAGCAAATTAACTTTTCAGGACCCCACTTCTCATCAGCATAGAATTATGAATATAAAATAATAGGTGAAAAACGAAGGCATGATAAATGGCATATAGTAAAACAAACGAAGGCATGATAAATTGAATCTAGTAAAACATTTATTAAGGTCAGGATGTGTGAATAGACTCTTAACAGAAAGATAGCTCAACAGCAACCAATTTATAGAATTACAGCACCACCACATTTCAGCAAAATGCAGTTGAGGACATTAGATAAATTATAGCGATTTGTTTTCTAAAAATCCATTAAATTATGTCTTTTCTCTGCAACAGAGTATCATAAACGCAGTTAAAGAAGTTAATAGGAAAAAGTGTGATCTTCCTTCCCCACTCTCTGCCCATCCATCTTCCAGGAAACCACAGGGGGTGGCTGACCAGACTAGAAATGAGTTTTCGAGGCCACTGCTTTTCCCCCTACATCATAACCCATTTCAAATGGTGCTATATAAAAACAGACTCTGAACACCAGGAGAAATGGGTCAGCTGTGTAAGAGATGGGTCCAGTGGTGCTCCTGGGGGTCCTGCACCTTGACAGTGCAGGTGGCAAGTCTGATTTCAGCAGGACTTTAATGGCATCTGAATGTTCCAGGGCATCTGGGAGCAGGCAGACACAAAGCTATTATTAAAATATGTTGGGGCTGGCCACATGGTGTGGTGGTTAAGTTCAGCGCACTCTGCTTTGGTGGTCCAGGTTCACAGCTTCACATCCTGGGCACAGACCTACACCAATCATCAGCCATGCTATGGTGGCTACCCACATAGAAAATAGAAGAAGATTGGCACAGATGTTAGCTCAGGGCTAATGTTCCTCAAGAAAAAAAAAAAAGAGAGAGAAAGATTGGCAACAGATGTTAGCTCAGGGCAAATCTTTCTCAGCAAAAAAAAATGTGTTAATATTTAAATTAGTATTGCCCTGCTTTGTAAAATAGTTCACAGCACGCAAAGTGTTTTGCGGTATTACTCACTTCATCAGGAAAGCAGCACCCTCTCTGCCTGTGAGGCTCCAGCCTGTCCACAAAGGTGAGTTTCAGCTGGCCAGGGCAACGCGTCCACGTGCCCTATTCAGGAAGAGCATGGACTCCGACTTCCCAGCCATATGGAAGTGTGAGAACACTGGCAATCTTATTTCACCTCTGGTGTGACACAAAAAACTGGTGTCCTAAGATTGTATTAATAATCGTCTAAAACAGAATTGAGTTTTGTTTTTCATTGTTTTCAAAATCTGCCTGAAATTAAAGTTTGTAAACTGTGTTCAAATTTGATTTCCCATCTCCCAATTGCACCATCTCTTTTGGTGGTTTGAAGCTAAGAAAACATGGCTATTTTTCCTCTGATTCCATAACCAAGAGAAAGAAGAGACACACAGTAGAATCTTTATCTTTCAGGTTCCCTACCAATTCTTTAGACCTCCAGATATAGGCTTATATTTTTTATGGCTCCAGGAAATAATGGTGTTGCTGCTTTAGAGAAGAGAAGGAAATAAACTTTGAATACAAAGTTGTTCTCTTTAATTCTCACAATAGTCCTGTGAAGCAGGTATTATTCCCATTTTTGCAGAAGAAACTGATCCTTACCATGGTTCAAAACCTTGCCCAGAGTGACAGGACTAATGACTGGTGTAGATCCCGGGTCTAACTCCAAAGTCTGTGTTCCTGCTCCTCTGCCCACTGCCGCCTGCTCCATGGCTGGACTGTCATCTCATTCTGTTCTTGAACTTCATTATGAGCAAGACTGCCTGGGGCGGGGGGGATCCTAGGGAATATTTTACACAGAAGTGGGATGTTACTGACTGCACACACGTTAAACTTGGGTGGAGACAGGAGCAGGACTGGTTCTGCAAAGGGTCGGGTGGTTTGGCGTAACTTGTTTTGTTCTCCTGCACCTCTGGTGGCTTGCAGTCTCCGTGACTGCAGGAGTGGGGAAGACACTGGAGATGAACCGCCCCGCAGTGCCTGTGCTGGACTCCTGAGTGACACAAGCACTACACTTAGCAGCCCGTGAGATGGGAAAACAATTCTTTAGCCATTAATGACCTTTACTGCGAGATGCACAGTAGTCTTTTTTTAAAGCCATGCTCTGCATCTGCTTGATTCTGAGGCTCTATGGTGAGTTTCCTCAAAGTGCTCCATTCTGTGGAACAATCTGAACTATACAGGCTGTTTTGTATGCTACACTCCAGTCTGAATGTTAAAAACAAATTGAACTCTACACCTCGTCCCAAATTCTGCTTGTTTCTCGTAGGAAAATCATGAAGAACTCCTCTAGAACCCTTCAATGGCATGGTGCATACAAACACAGATACCCAGTTTGGATGAACAGTTAATTATTCTTGTAATGAAGGGTGAGTTGGGAGCACTATCTCTGGAATATGCGTTCCAGAACAGTAATGTCAGTCTCTGACCCAGTCTTAGGTAGGCAGACTGGACTACTGCCACCTGTACTTCAAAAAGTAAACAGTAGGACTTCTGGATAGAGAACGTAGCTTGAATACAGGCATATGACCAAAGGAATGTAAAAAAGAAGGAGCGATCTGTATCTGTATTATAGACAGGGGAGGGCACCATGCTCCTGCTGGAGGTGATACATGTGAAACCCGGTGAGATATTCACTGGATGAAAAGGATCAGCCTGCCAACTAAGTCAAAGGAAAAATGCTGGTTGAACCGTGCAAACATCCTTAACTGAGATCAGCGAGTACTAGAGCTGAGTTGGAGGACCCTGAAGTAGGGGTTGGAGGGTAAATCTTAAATGCAACAGCAGCTCTGGGAAATGTAAGTATAAAGTGCACAGAGTGGGGACGTTAATGGACTTTTTGTTCTTGACTTTCCCTTGGGACAGGTGACCAGGCTGGAAGCCTCTGCCTCAACTCAGAGGGAGCATTAAAGAATGTGTCCTAATTTTCAGGTGCCGCAATCAATTCAGACAAAAAAAAAGATATCTATATTAAATGTTTCTGCAAAAACTGCCCTTGGTCATTGGCCCCATCCTATTCTACCCAACCTATTGTACCTATGATCCAGCAAGTTTAAACTAGGAGAAATCAAAATTTGCCCCTTCTCACTTTGTCTGAGCCTGGGAGATTTTAATAGCTTTCCACACAATCTCTTCACCAATCCCTTCTCACCTCCCATTGTGAATAAGCCTAGAGCTCTCTCTGTGATGAGCACATCAAAATATCGCAAAATATAAGGGAAGACACAACAGTTGAAAATAAAAGAGACCAATCTGAGAAATCAGAAAAAAATGTTTCTCTAAAATCAGTGTACTCCAATAAACAAGGAAATAAACTCAAAACAGGATATTAGAAATCTCTCATATGTGTTTGTAACATGTAATCTACAAAACAATAAGATTCATTTGTAAGATTTCATGATCTGGTATCAGGAAAATTTACATATGGATAAAACACATGGGAGTTTTAAAAGAACTCCTGATTCAATAATCAGGAGATTGAATCCTGAAAAAATAACAGAGATCATGAGAAAACAGAATTAAATTCCCCAGAATTAATCAAAGACAAAACTGGAAATTATGCACGCATACACACACATGCACTCACACACATCTAGGTTTGAGAAAAAGAAAAGAAAGCAGAAAGAGGTGAAGCATTAATTAGCACATAATGGAACACAGATTCCCAGACCAGCAAGAAAAAGACTAGGTTGTTTGAATCTTAAAGGCTTACTAAACAAATGCAAGATTAATGATAAGAGGTCCAGGCTCTACATGGAGGAAATTTATGACTTTCAGATATTTAAAAAAAAAAAAAAAGATACTGCAACTAGGTGGAGATAAAATAAACAGAAGAAATTCATATTGGCATCAAATATCACTTCCACACAATAAATAGCAGAAATTGGTGTTTTGAGAGAAAATATTGTGGCATAAAATTTCTATACTCAGCTAAGCTGTCATTTATCTACAAGGCACAGATGTATAGTCTAACATGAGCAAGACCCCAAAACATATACCAATTAGATAGATTTCCTGAGAGAAGAATCAGTCCCACAAACCCATGAGTAAATTTTTTAAATAAGAAATCAAAGAAATAGTAATGAGGCTCAAAACTAGTTAAACAAAGTCACCAAAATTGTTATTTTTAATATGGATGTAAAACTAAATATAATGGCAGAACTAATTCTTGAAAGAGACCTCGTGGAATATGAAAAGAACAACAATAAACCTGATATAAAATAGTACATTTTATCACCACAACTAGAAAGTTGGGGATGAAATAAAGAAAAAAACTATGCTCAATACATAGGGAATAATTAGATAGTACATATTCTCGACACAAAGAGTAAGGAGAAAATGGTACTCCATACTAGTAAAAAATCAAAATATGTCACTTCAAAATCACAAGAACAATCAAAAGAGCAAAACTACTTGGTCCCAATAACAAACAAGGTGAGAGACAGAAGAGCAAGGGAGCTTTCCATCTCTCTTGCTTTAAACAGCATCAGCAGAGCAAGAATGGAGTTGTTTTTGTACAGTGCTGAGTTCTAGCCCTTGGAATTGTTAAATAAATGAAAGGGAAAAAACACTATAAGCAAGATCAAACTCCTCAGTTATGACAGTACATGTGAATGGCTTACATTCCCCTTTTGAAAGACAATGCCTTCTAAATATAGTCAATAGAAATATCTAATTACATGATAAAAGACAGATTCCTAAATTAAAATGACAGAAAAATACCATTTATAATGGCATCGAAAAATAAAACACTTAAGACATAAATATACCCAGGGAGACACAAGACTTATACACTGTAAATATAAAACATTGCTAAATGGAAAGACATCCATATTCATAGATTAGAAGACTTAACATTGTTAAGATGAAAATACTGGCCAAAGTGATATACCAATTCAAAGCAATTCCTATCAAAATCCCAACAGTATTTTTTGAAGAAATGGAAAAACCATCCTAAAATTCATACGGATTCTCAAGGGACCCAGAATAGCCAAACAATCTTGAAAAGAACAAAGTTGGAGGACTCACACTTCCTGATTTCAAAACTTACTATGAAGCTATAGTAATTAAAATAGTGTGTTACCAGCATAAGGTTAAAGATACAGACCAAGGGAATAGATAGATAGCCCAGAAATAAACACACACATTAGTGGGCAATTGATTTTCAAAAGGGTGCCAAGACCATTCACTGGAGAAGGAACAGTCATTCAGCAAATGGTCCTGGGAAAACGGGGTATCCAAAGCGAAAGAATGAAGTTGAACCCTTACCTTACACCATAGACAAAAATTAACTCAAAATGGATCAAAGATCTGAATTTATTATCTAAAATTATAAAACTCTTAGAGGAAAACATAGAGGCACATCTTCATGACCTTGGATTTGGCAAAGTCAAATTCTTAAATATAACACGAAAAGCATAGGCAACAAAAGGAGAAATAGATAAACTGGATTCATTAAAAGTAAAAACTTTTGTGCATTAAGACATTGTCTAGTCTGTTCGGGCTGCTCTAACAATGTATCACAGACTAGGTAGCTTATAAACAACAGAAATTTGTTTTTCACTGTTCCAGAGGCTGGAAGTCTGAGATCAAGGTATTGGCATGGTCGGTGAGGGCCCTCTTCCAGGTTGCAGATTTCTTGTGTCCTCACATGGTGGAGGGGCTAGAGAGTTCTGTGGGGTCTCTTTTATAAGAGCACTAATCCCATTCATGAGGGCTTCATCCTCAGGACTTAATCACCTCCCAAAAGCCCCACCTTCTAATACAATCACCTTTGGAGGTTAAGATTTCGACATATAAATTGGTGGGGGGGACATAAACATTCATACCATAGAAGACAGTATCAAGACAGTGAAAAGACAGCCCACACAATGAGAAAAAAATATTTACAAATCATATATCTGACAGGTTTTAATATCCAGAATATGTGAAGAACTCTCACAACTCAACAATAAAAAGACAGACAACCCAACTTGAAAATGGGTGAAGGACTTGAATAGATATTTCTCCACAGAAGATATACAAATGGCCAATAAACACATGAAAAGATGCTAAACGTCATTAGTCATTTGGGAAATGCAAATCAAACCCACTTCACACCTCCTAGGATGCCTTTCATAATTTTTTTAAAACAGAAAATAAAAAGTATTGATGAGAAGGTGGAGAAATTGGTACCTGTGTACATTGCTGGTGGGAATATAAAATGGTGAAGCCACTGTGGAAATTGTGAATACACTGTGAACTACTTTGCAGCAATCAAAAAGACTTAATTAGATCCTGTATTCAGTGACCTGGATGGATGACCAGGATGTGATATTAACTGAGAAAACAATTTGCAGAGAAGCAGGCAGAGTTTGTTCTCAATTGGGAAAAATAATCACAAATTTGAAGGAGATGTTCTCTATGCATATGTGTGTTTGAATGCACTGGGAAAAAGTGGAGTTATCTGAGATGGGGTGGGAGTGACCAAAAATACATGGTATTCTAAGCAAATACTTAAGCAAAAATATATTGTAATACTATCTTGTCAAACTACTGAAGACAAATAAACTTCAGTAAGCATGTAGTCAAGGAGTAGGTGTTAACCCGCACAATTGAAACAGGTTGTTTTGACCGAGGGATGGCAAACTTCTGTCAAGAACCAATAGTATTTGCAGCTTTGTGGCCGTGCAATCTCTGCTGTAACTACTCAGCCGGACAGTTGCAGTGGGGAAGTGGCCCTGGACAACGGATAAATGGACGTGTGGCTGTGTTCCAGTAAGACTTCGTTTACAATACAGGCTGCCGGATATACTGGGCCTGTGGGACTTGGTTTGCAAAGCTCTGATTACATGAAGGGATTGTGAGCATTATTTTTCCTTAATTCCTGTTATTATTCAAAGTCAGAGAAGTTTTAAAAAGAAATGAAAAGATAAACTGGTAAAACAATAACAGTAGTTGAAAACCTCAGATTGGACAAATAAAGGCACAAAAAACAAGACATTCAGGAGTAAGCTGCTTCAGTACATGTGTGTTGCACTTTGTGCCTCACAGAGAATGTAAGCTTCCTCTCTAGGAACCATTTATAAAAGCTGATATCATGTCACTCCACAGAGTGCACCTCCATAGATGTGAACACAGGAGAAATCAAAACAGCTATATACTCTCCTTACAATACAGGAACACTGGCAATTAATAACAAAAGAATAAACTAAAAATTCAAAGTTTTAGAATCTTGGTCAAACAGAAAATTAAAGCAGCCATTGCAGATTAATTATAGAATAACAATAACGAATGATCATTGAGCGCACGTGCCCCAAGCACTCTTCCAAGTGCTTTATATGAATTCACTTGCTTCATCTCTAAAATGATGCTTTGAAGTAAATACTAT